TCCTTTACCCCTTTAAGATTGTTCCATACTGTCTGCATTCTACCATTTGTGCTTCTGTCCTTCCAAGCTTCTTCAATGTGTTGCATGAATTGAGGGTGGTCAGCAATACAGTTAAAGAACTTGAATGGCCTGTTCTTCTTTCCTTGTGCCTGACAGATTACTAACTTCAGTGGTGAGTGATCAGATATCATTGGTTCCAGCACCTGAACTTTCACATTTGGCATTGTCATCATCCAAGTTACATTTACAAGTCCCCTATCAATTCTGCTATAGGTATGATTATTAGTCCAGGTGTAGTTCCTCCCCATATACTGCAACTCATTCATCCCTGTATCCCTCATATACTCCTTAAAATCTTTTGTTTCCATATCTTGAACCTCTGTGCCACATAGTCTATCTTGTGGATGTACTACAGCATTATAGTCTCCCATAGCTAGCCAAGGTCCTTGTTGAATGCTGTGAATTTGCCTCATCTTGTCCCATAGCTTCAATCTATCTTTAACAGTATGCAATCCATATATTGCTGAGAAACCAAATATAACAGCTTTTGCAATAACTCTGACTTGACCATGTATCAGTTGCTCCTCTATTTCCATTGGCTCAAATGTGTATATCCTGGGATCCCACATGATCCAAATTCTGCTTTTATGGTTTATACTTGAATTGGAAATCCATTACCCACCAGGTGCTATCTTCTTGATCACTGCATTTTCTTTTTGATCTTTCACTCTATGCTCTACTAATGTTATTATTGCTTTATTATTCCTTTTTATAAACTCCTTTATCTCCTTTTGCTTATAAGTCTTATTCAGTCCCCTCACATTCCAAGTTATCACACTCATACAGGTATAAAGTATGGGTGGTGATACAAACCCTGCACCTCTGAACTCCTCACCTGCATTGCACTTGTACCTGGCTCATCATATGCTTGATTCTTTGCTAGGCTTTGGAATCCATTGCTTCCAGATATCTCCTGTTCCTCAGCTTGTTTGGCTTTAGCTAGCCTAGCTGCTGATTTTCCTAGGACAGTTATCCACCCCTCTTCCTTCCCCTGGGCATCATTACTTGTTGGTTCTGGTTCATTATGTTGATTATTCACTGCTGCTTCCTGCTGTACATCAACCTTCTTCTCATCTGCCTTCTTCACATTATCATCTTGTCTGTCAGTTCTGAGCCACACTTGCTTATTTTTTGTTATCTTCCTCTGCTGCACCACTCTTTGAGGCTGCACTGTTTTAATCTCAGCACAATCATGTCCTATTTTCAGACATTTTGTGCAGTATTTTGGTTCCCAATCATAAGTGACTTCCTGCTGGATTAACCTCCCCTTATGATCCTGTAGCTTCACATATCTAGGTAGAGGTTTTGTAATGTCCATTTCTATCAGCATACGTGCATAAGAGATCCTAATTGAACCAGTAGTACATTCATCTGCATATACTGGATTTCCCAATGTGCTGCCTATTTTACTTAAAGCTTTCACGCCCCAGCAATTTATGGGTAAGTTTGGAAACCTCACCCATAGGGGAATGGTTTTCAGGACCTCATCTTGAACATTAAAATCTTCTGACCATGCCTTCATTATCATAGGCTTGTTATTAATCATATGTGGACCAGAGTACAACACCTGATCCCTCTCCTCTAAATTAGTGAACCTTATCACAAAATATCCTTCATTATGATAGTAGATTTGTGGTTTCACTGAGAACTTACCCACTGAGCCCAGAAATCGATCCATTGCTCCAATTGTAGGTGTTTCCCCAATCACATATAGGACAATAGCAGAACTCCATTTCTCAGTTTCTAGTTCGACATCTTCAATTTCTAGCTTTGCAATTTTTTTCCCATTTTGAACTGTTGGAGCTATGTACTGTAAATTCATACCTTTCATAGCCAATTTGTTGCCTGCTACCACGTTTGCCCAGGATTGGTCCATATTCTTCTTCCTTGCTTCTCCTTGCTCACCATCTTTAACAGTACCTGAGCTGCATGGTACTGTTTCATTCATATTCTGCTTCACTCCTTGTGTTTCTACTTCCTTTTGCCCAGATCCGACAACTATAGCTTGCTCAGCTGCAGGAGTAGCTACAATTTCCTTCGATTTGCCTTTGCCCAGCGATAGATCTGCTTCTTCTCTGCTCAGCTCACTTTGCATGTTCCTAGGAGTACAATTTCCACTTGGTTCCTCGATTCGTAACCCTTTTGGTGACACAAACAGCTCTAGCACAGCATTCCTTGTTTCCGTTGATCTCTGAACATTCACTGGTATCTTCGCCTGATTCCGCTTGGGTCTGCCTCTCCCTCCCATGGCTTCCAAGCGCACGTTAGCAAAGCCACGTTAACGTGCGCCGAGAGAAATGTTAGAGAGATACTTACAATGTGACTATTTAAGTGCGAAGATGGTGAAAGTTTTTTAGATACCCTAATTATGCATTTACTTATTGCTCAAATAATTATTTTTAATTAAACAAATATGAGAAATAGTATTAATCGTATATAAGTATTTGAAATTGAATAACAAAAATAAATGAGTATATAGAGATATAATAAGAATAAAAATAATATGTTTGTATTATTATTTTACTAATACCAATTAAAATTAAAATTTTACTTGCACAATTGACCATAAAAGTCAATAGAGAATTTTACTAATATATACTCAATGCACGTAATATAAGAAAATAATAGTTAAATACGGAGCTTTATTTATAATAAATTCCTAAATGATGAGATAGTTATGCTTTAAATATGTTTTAAATTATAATTTAGAAATATATAATATAATGCTAAGTATGAGTAAGTATTGGGTATTCACGTTAAGGTTCAGAGTACACATGCCAAGCTTAGTGTACTCGTGCAATGAATTTTTAAGTACCAGCGCTCAATATTAAATACCTACACTGAGATTTTACTCGTGTTAAGATTTCAAGTGCCTGTGCACGAATAGGTATTAGGTATTGTCAGTAGCGGATCCATGATTTGAAGTTAATGGGTGCTCTAGTGTAAATCTAACACTAGTCATAGAATTATAGTAGAGGTATTTTGGATTTATTTGGTCTAGTTAATTCAATTTTCTGTTCATAATCATCAAATCGAAATGAGTTTTATTCAATTTTTTTCACCAGGTTAAATATTTTGTATACACAATCAAAATAGAGAGAGAAAATTGGTAAAGATTTTTGAATATTTTAACATGTCAAAATTGGGACTAAGCTACGATACTCTTCTATTTACATAGATAGTAATACTTCTCTAACTTTATATAATATCCAGATTTAGGTCATGCTTTGATATCCCAATTTATTATCTTCAACTATTAGCTTTTTAAGTTTTTAATAAAAGCTTAAAGTAAAGTAACTGGAGTATAATAATCAATTTAGAAATAAAAGGTTTTAAAAAGTCTCATATTAAATTGCAAACCTACTTCAGAATAGCGTTCTCATAAGTTGGATAATAATTAATTGATTTTTGTTCTTATTTATGTGTAAACTTAACTTGTTAAGGAGAAAAAAAGGAGAGAAAAATAAATCTAGTTTGACAAAATTCAATCTAAACTGGGAGAAAGTACAAGAGATGAAATAAAGAGCAAGGAATGAGAATTGAGATGAATGGGGAGGTAAAATGCGAAAGAAACTATAACGTGGAGGGGTAAGGTCTGCGTACACATTACCCTCCCCAGTCCCCACCAAGTGGGATTATACTGCCCTAGGGGTAGAGAGGCTGTTTCCAAATAGAAACCCGGTATCCTTCCCTCCAAGAACTTCCCACCTTGCTCTTGGGGAGACTCGAACTCACAACCTCTCGGTTGAAAGTGGGGGTTTCTTACCATCAGAGCAACCCCTCTTGTCTATGCTTTATATTAAATTTGTATGGAATTTCTATGTAATCATAAAAGTTTCAACTAAAATTGGTGGGTGCTATAAGCACCCATAGTGATGCACGTACATCCGCCCTCCTACTATGTTTGTTTCATGCTGAAAAAGCGTTTCATATTATGATCTAGACTAGAAAGTGATATTCAAAACCTCATGTAATAGTATGTGAGTGCATTTTACTTAGCGGGCGTTTGGATATAAAAATTCTAAAATTCCAAAAAAAAAGTGAAAATTCTTTTATCGGTATTTGAAAATTAGAGTTGTGTTTAGACAAAAATATAATTTTGGATTTTTTTTTGTAGTTTTGCGAGTGATATGAGTAAAATTCTGAAAAATAACTTTTTGGAGTTTTCAAAATTTCAAAAAATTCTAAAATTCATCTTCAAGTGAAAAATGAAAATTTTATGGCCAAACATTAATTGAAAAATATGTAAAAAAATTTCAAAAATAAATAAAAAAATTCTTATATCCAAACGGGCTCTTGTAAATTTGTGTTCAAATCCAAGATAAAAGGAAGTAGTAGTACAAATAATTCAAATCAAGCTGTAAAATTCAAATTATAGTAGGGAGGCAAATGAATGGCAAATCCAGTAACGTTCGAATTTGTCCAAAATGGATGGCAAATACCGTAAAATGAGTGGAATATGATGCCCAAAAACAACAAACAAATAAGTGTCAGAAATCCACCCCTAAATTGTCGGTTTTTGTGTTTAGAGCCCCCTTCTTACAAATTTTCCAAAATACAGCCTTGCGTATAGGGAGGAGTGGGGTCCCACCACCCTACCACCCCCAACTGATCGGAAACACAGCAAATTAAATTAATTCATTCCAAATAAATACAAAAAAGAATTACTAAAGAAAAGAAGTAAAAGCTTCAAACTATAGCTGCCAAGCTAGAAAAAAAAATTTTTTAGAGAGAGAAAGTCTCCCCATTTTCTTCTTCATTTTCACATATACATATACGGAGCCATATACATACATAAAAAATTTGTGTTTATATATATAGAGAGAGAAACAAGAAGAAAAGGTTTTCGCTTTAGTTGATTCATCGGAGGCAAGCTTTGTTTTCTTCTTCCTCTGTGTTATCGTCATAAGCGTCGTTGCTACTTCGGCTGGGATTTTTGAAGCTTAAGGAGTCCGATCTGACTCACCGAGTCAAAATTTCGCTACTCTTTGCCTTGATGAGTTGGCGTGCTGGAGATCGATAGTTCAAAACTCGTCAATGGTAAGTCTCTGTTGAAACGACTTTATTCCTTGTCGTTTCGTGCCGTTTGCTATGTTTCATTTCGTCTAGTCTAATTGCTGTTGCTCCAGTCAAATCTGTTCAGCGCAAAGTCAATTTTGCGGATTAATATTTAGTATTTATTTTGATGTTATCGTGTGGACGAAATTTAATTCGGACATTGTTAGGAAATAGTGTATTTTTTGTGCATGCGTGAAATATATAGGAATTGGACTGAAGATAGTGTGTTTGTATATCTATTAGGACTAGAAATTTGTGCTATATATCCAGGGATTAGCTTAATACAATTTTTTTAATTCATTTCTGAAATTTGATTTTATCCTCTCTTTTTTTCCCAGTCCGGAAATTGGATGTCGGAAAAAGATAAACAGTAGAATTAACTACTGATTAGTAGTAATTTGTTTTACTAGTATTGAATAACAGAGGTTGCAGACTGTAGTAGCAATCGGCAAGTTAAAAGAGGTTTCATAAAGTTTTAATTAGGAGGCTGTCTATTGTGTTACCTTGAGGAGCTGAAATTTAGAAAATGCAGTTTCAACCTTAGAAGTGAATGTGGCAAAATAAATATACAACTTTGGGTTTCAAAATTAAACTTTAACTGGTTAGTGGTTTCATATGTCTTTGGACAATATTAGAGATAAAAGTACTATAGAAAAGCATTTAATACAAATAAGATGTAACAATTATTTAATAAAAGATGAGTTACAGTTTTGGATAGAAAAAATGGTTTGAGGCACGCTATGGAAGGTGCTTTCTTAAGAGTAGATTACCGTCGCTACCAAGGTGCAAATAACAAAGTGACGTCCTGCTCCCAAATTACAACAAACAACTCAGAAATCTTCTAATTTGCAATCGGATGGAAATTCCGTAGAACTCTTAAATCTCTCAACAGCTTTTGTTTGAATTTAGAATGAATTAAAAAAAGGAGACTCTTGAAAAGAGTGACAATATGAAGAGTCAAAAAGATGAAGACATGGAGACACAAGATATCTGATATTTTGGCTAGTGGAATAGGTATTTATAGAGAACTAACATGCCTTTCCAGTAACAGGTGTATCCTATAAAGATTAGATCACAACTTCTTAATAAAGATTAGATATTCTAAAGGATTGGATCACAACTTCTTAATAAAAATTAGATATATCCTTTAAAGAATGGATTGCTCTAGGGTTTTGGTCTAGTGGTAAGAGCGCAACAAGTGATGTGTGGGTTAGGTGTACGTCACGACAAAAGCCTAGTATTTAAGTGAAGAAAGGTAAAGAGGCAGGCCCATTATCCACCGAGTTTCGAACCTTGCTCTACTTGCCCTTGGGAATTTCTCTGTTATGTAAAAAAGAGAATGGATTAAATCTTTTCAAAAAAAGGTAGTGCCGTTTTTTATCCTTATCAAAACAAGGTAGTGCTATTATTATCAAAAAGTAAAATTTTGAATCACCCAAAATAAATCAACATATGTAGCACCTCATTGCTCTAAAATCAAGGTTGTCCAATGTCACATGCAGCTACAGCATGTGATCTCTTGCTGAGTCTCCTTGTGTTATCACATAGGTCCTAAATTGAGTTGTGAAAATGAGTGAGGCATGGGTGACACGATGAAATATTTGTAGATATATATCATGGGACTTCTTGAGGCAGCAGAAAAGGAAGAAATTGATTAAAATATCATTTGCCAGTTAAAAAAGGACAGAGACATTTAAATATGAATGTAACAAGTGTGTGTTTGTTTAACAAAAGAAAAACACTACAGCAAATGACTATGTGTATTGATCACTTGCACAAAGAGTTATTTCTATTTTACTTCGATATAGTAAAACAATATTAGAATAATGTGTAAAAGCACGAGTGATATGTTCACAATGCTTCTGATGCTGAGGACATATAGAAGTCAACTCATCATTTTCTTTTTCTTTTTTTCTAATTACGTTAGCTTTGAAGAAGATTACAACATAACATTGCTTCAAAGAAGATTTAAATAGGTTGTCAAATAAAGGAACCCATTTTAAAAAAAAAAAAAAAAAGAGAAAGTAGTCAGAGAAGTAAATTTCTGAAGTTTCCGTTCTACTTCTATCTTTTCCTGAAATACTTCAGTTGAGTGCAGTGGAAGGTTCGCTATTCTCTTACATTTGATCAGTTTTAATGATCTTTCATGAAATATCATCCATTCTTTCTTTATTATGGCGGTGGCCACGCCTGCTTGCATGCACCTCGGCTAGTCCACTTGTACCAGAGGCGGATGTAGTGTTATACCGGTGGGTTCAACGGAACCGATAGCTTTCGATGCGGAGTAAAAATTTGTATGTAAAAATTCATTAAAATTGCAAAAATAGTAGATATGAACCCATAACTTTAAAAATATAATGGGTTCAATGTTAAAAACATTAAAAGTTGGACCCAAAGGATTTAAATTCTGGAACCGCCTCTGCTTGTACCTGCTATCTCCCATTAACACAAGTATCGGGCAACTCTATTCACCAAGATTTGGACAAGGTTTAGATAGATAGGACGAAATCACCCAACGGTCTTTTGCCTCTCTGGGATTTTTTCTAGAAATATCATCCTTTGTTTTAAGATTCCAGTTTTCTTTGTAAATAGGAAGTTACATCCCGGAGCTTAGCGATGTTATCTTATTCTTATGATGGATTTAGTTGACAAGATAATCTGGAAATGGAGTTGGTCCAATTTGTTATATTGTAATAATGCCTTGATGGTATATCTCATCATTTTAGGATGATATGTCAAAATGACAATTTCATGTACAACTACATTATGTTTGTTTAGGGTTCAAAGAGAAAGGGAAGCAAAGGGACAAATAAAGGAAGTGCAAGAGTCATTCCCCTTGTTAATCTAGGAAGTGAAAGACGAGGGAAGTAAATGATAAAGTTTTGAACCCTCAAAAAATGAATAGGAAGGAAGTAAATCTCATCCTCTGTTATACGTACCCTTTACCAAACAATGTTATGAGAACAAATGACTCAATGAAGATGTTAAATTCAGTCCCTCTCCCTTCCTCAAATGGATTAGAGATCAGTCTGGTCATGTAGAAGACACATGCATGGAATATGGTGCGTAATATCATGCTATCTTAGAACTCAATAGTACTTCAGAACTAATTGCTGCATATTCCACTCTGCCTAGAACCACTAACTGATGCTACATCTTTTGGGGCCACGATTGACTTTAATTAGAGACAACTGAAAGTGACTAAAAACCCTAGTGTTCACTTTTGGCTCAATACATTTATTTCTTGGTAAATTATCAGTTATCTGCTTCCTAGATATATTTTTCTTTGCTGGTCTTCAGCCCAACCTCCTGAATTATATGCTAGTCAATCTCTATCACTATACTTCCTCCCAAAAAATTTAGTTCTTTATTTATTTTCATAGTCAACTGACTCGTTTTGTCTCTAATTGGGCGTGGATTGATTCACTCGTTGAAGACAACATGTAGATATTTAGAGACTAAATGAAAAGAATACTACAATTGAAATGCTTTCATTTCGAATTGACAAGAAATGTCGGAAGAACAAAATTGGAATAAATTCTTTTGATGGAAGTATTGTCGTGCAAACCAAATAATAGCGCTTTTTTAACTGAAATTGTGGCAATGTCGTGCTTGTTTCAAGATGATCAATGTAAAATCTCGTAACTTATGCTAAGCGTGTAATCTAAATTTGCGTGGCCAAGATGGCATACTGTAACTTAAGCGTTTCATTTCAACTCTCAGTTTGTGGAGGCATTCTCTCTATGAAACAAAATATATTTTGTTGTGCTATTGTTTTCTCTTCTAACTTCACTTTGATAATTACGATATGTTTGGAAAGCCTTTTTGACATGTAAGGTGCTTAATTGTATTCAAATTTAAGCCTACCTTACCTCTTCAAAGAGAAGAAAAAAGTTGTATTCAAAGTTGAAGTTTAGACTGCTAGTTCCATTCTTGGGGTGACTCCTGTCCATCTAGCTATATATGTTGCTTTTCAAATTTCCTTTTTTTTTTTGGTATTGTGATAGCGCATAGGAGAACGACCTCTACGCCTAACTCTGAAGGAGAGTATTATTTTAGATGCATGATTCCATTTCAGGGTGGATTCTGTGGTTTAAGTTCATGCATAAATTTCACAAGTTTGTCTTGCTTTCTCTTGTCTGTTTTATTCCGTCTCTTAGATTCTGAAACAAAGGTGATATTACAAAAAAAGTCAACACTGGATGACTTACCCCCTCCTCTCCCTTCCTCCCTTGTTTCTTAATCTCTTCGCATTAGCATGAACATAGTCTAAAGACTTCTGTTGAAGAATTCTTTAATCTGGTGTATCGATTGCTAAATCAACTATGAATCCTCTCTATCCATTTCACTCTATTCAGGTCCATTTCATTCGTATACAATTTATAAAGATTAAATTTTCTGTTGTCTTATTAGAATGGCTGAGATATTGCGTGGTAATCATTGTCCTCTTGGTATCTCATGCAAAAACCTTTTTGCAGGCATCAGTCAACATAATTGTCGGTTCTCATGTTTGGGTGGAAGACCCTAAATTGGCATGGTCAGATGGAGAAGTTATCAGAATACATGGTCAAGATGTTCATGTTAAAACCTCAAATGGGAAAGAAGTGAGTATTTGGTTTTGTGACAGCTATATTTATTCAAGGGTTATACTTTGTATCAGTTTGAATGGAAAATGAATTAATGTGCTTAAATTTTCTACACTTCTTAATGGATTTGGCCAGACCTCACTAGTGCAATAGATATTTTGTAGTATTCAGAACTCGGTTCTTGTATTATATTTGGGGAGGAATATTTCCTGCCTATTGGTTCCTTTTCCTAGAGATACTTTATAAACTATGACGTGCTACTGTTTGTATGTGTGCATATTTGTATGTACTATGCATGCATGCAATATATCCAAGGATGCCCTATCTAACATATTAAAGCCTTTCTTAGAATGAACTGTGACCAATATATGTTACTAAGAACTAACACCTTCCCAATTTTTAGCTATGCAAACAATATGTTAAATTCTTCAAGAGGTCTAGGAATGCACGAGTTTAACCCCTGCGGCCGTTCACCATAATGACTGTGAAATGCTTCATGTGAGAGAAATTTGAGGCAGGTCTATGGTAGAAGTTTACCTTTTTGACTAACATCATGAACCAAGTTACTTACATGTCCCGAGATGAGTTGACCCTTCTTTACTTTCTTATAATCCTTTATTTGTTATGATCCAACTATAAATGACTTCGAAAATATATAGGGTGCCAAAGCTGATGAACAACTTTTCATATTGACCTTGTGGCTTTCTTTTGCATATACACCACGAATATCTCTCTGAATATTATTGCTTGTTGCTTCATGCATTAGTTCTAGTTTGCATGCACGTTTGCATGTCACCTCCTTTGTGCACCAAAAGTATCATTGTTCTCTAATTTAAGTTGGTGTAAATTTTTTAATTTTGATTGCCTATCGTCGTATTGGCTTCCGGGGATGTTTGATTCATCTACTCGGTAACTTTGTTAATCGTGTTCTTCTTGTAGTGTCAAGTTTTATGTTGTACTTCCTCTAGTCGTGCAGTCGTTAACTTACTCAAAACGTGAATAGCTTTTCTCGAGGACCCTTTCAGATCACCTGCAGTCTGCCGGTCCTTGAAGCTTAAACATTTTCATTTCAACCAACAAATCAGTTCTTGCATTTTTTTTTTGGTTGTACAAGGAGTTCTTTTTTAATCTAAGGTTGTAATAGTTTCGAACTATTGATCTCAGGTTGTTGCAAATATCACTAAAGTGTTCCCTAAAGATACCGAGGCTCCTCCTGGAGGTGTAGATGATATGACCAAGCTTTCCTATTTGCATGAACCTGGAGTTCTGCAAAACCTGGCTACTAGATATGAGCTCAATGAAATTTATGTAAGAGATCTGATTTTCCTTGTAATCATGCAAATTGATCGTTGATACCCACTAGTTGTATTTCATGAATTTATTATCCTTGGGAGAAAGTTTTCTTAGTTTTTTTAATCTTTTGTCCAGACGTACACTGGAAACATATTGATTGCAGTAAACCCTTTCCAAAGATTGCCTCATCTGTATGATACTCACATGATGGAACAATATAAAGGAGCAGCATTTGGGGAGCTGAGTCCGCATGTTTTTGCAGTTGCAGATGTTGCATATAGGTTGAGTTCTTTTCTGACGCGTGTTCCTCTTTTTATTGCTTTGGCATGATATCTCACATTTATTTATTCATTCTCATTTTGGTCTCAGGGCAATGATCAACGAGGGAAAAAGCAATTCAATTTTGGTTAGCGGAGAAAGTGGTGCTGGCAAGACTGAAACTACAAAGATGCTCATGCGTTATCTTGCATATCTTGGAGGTCGGTCAGGCGTCGAAGGTCGAACTGTAGAACAACAAGTTCTAGAAGTAAGATTGACTTTTCAATTTAATTTAAATCTACCATTGGCAGTTTCTGACGAAACTGGGCTTAGTCTATCAAATTACTGTCTAAAATTCATGTTATTGTTGAACACAGTCCAATCCCGTTCTTGAAGCATTTGGAAATGCCAAAACTGTGAGAAACAACAACTCAAGGTTAGTAACTTCTGTAATTGAAGCCACAGAAGATGTTAATTGTTCCAGCAATTTGTTAATGGTTTCTAAATGTGACTGTTCCTTTGTCATGATGTAAATGGTGTAATCCTTTCAGTCGTTTTGGTAAATTTGTCGAGATACAATTTGATAAGAGTGGGAGAATATCTGGGGCAGCTATACGAACTTACCTTCTGGAGAGATCTCGTGTCTGCCAAATCTCAAATCCTGAGAGAAACTACCACTGTTTTTATCTTCTTTGTGCTGCTCCAGCTGAGGTATCTATGTTTGTTTTTTGTTTTGTTTTTGATTGTCCTTAACTGTTTAGCTGATCTAATGTTAACGGCGCACATAATTATGATATTCTTTCGCTTTGCAGGAGATAGAGAGATATAAACTAGGGAACCCAAAATCATTCCACTATCTTAATCAGTCCAAATGTTATGCATTGGACGGAGTAAATGATGCTGATGAATATCTTGCAACAAGAAGGGCTATGGATATAGTGGGAATCAGTGAGGAAGAGCAGGTTAGTTTTCCTCCGGACTAATTTGTTCTGCGGATAACATGAATGTTGCTAATGCATTAAACAATTTGTTCAGGATGCTATTTTCAGGGTGGTTGCCGCAATTCTTCACCTTGGTAATGTCGAATTTGGAAAAGGTGAGGAGATCGACTCTTCTGTGATTAAGGATGAGCAGTCTCGGTTTCATCTCAATATGACGGCAGAGTTGCTCAAGTAGGTCTATGTTCTACTTTTGAACTTGACTGCACGTTTTTATTTTGGATCTGTTAATTCTGCTGGATCTTATGACTAATAATTGATAGGTGTGATGCCAAGAGCTTGGAAGATGCACTAATTACACGTGTAATGGTCACACCTGAGGAAGTTATTACAAGGACTCTTGATCCAGAAGCTGCTCTGAGTAGCAGGGATGCTTTGGCTAAAACCGTGTATTCTCGCCTTTTCGACTGGTAAGCAAGTCAAATACCTGATGTTACTGTCACTTTTACTGTCATAAGACATTTATAGACACGTATGCATATACTTCTTTGGTTTTCCATAATTTTATCTTCTTTTGTTTCTTAAAAAATTCGTATATCGACTCCAGGATTGTGGAAAAGATAAACGTCTCCATCGGCCAGGATCCAAACTCCAAGTCCATAATCGGAGTTCTTGATATTTATGGGTTTGAGAGTTTTAAAACCAACAGGTAACGTTTCAGTATGGTATATCCTCTGCTGCTGCTTACTTGAAACCTTGGTGCCTATCTAACATTTTCCCCGGGTGAAACAGTTTTGAGCAGTTCTGCATCAATTTTACAAATGAAAAGTTGCAACAACATTTTAACCAGGTTATATCTCATTCTTGCATTTTAAAAACTAATTTCTTATATTTTTTTCTATCTGTTAAGGCTATATGATTATAATGGTAATGCGTTTGCACCAGCACCTCTTTGCTTATGAGGTTGTCTTGGTTTTTTAATGTTATTCCGTCTTATGATTTCAGCACGTGTTCAAGATGGAACAAGAAGAATATGAAAAAGAAAAGATTAACTGGAGCTACATAGAGTTTGTTGACAACCAAGACGTGCTGGATTTGATCGAAAAGGTCTGCAACCGCTTGATTCATTGTTTATTGATGCTTTTTTTTTTTTTTTTCTCTTTCATTTGTCTGGAACAAAGTAACTTGTCATGCGATGCTATAGTATGTTATTAGTTCTAGACTTCTAGCCCGTCTTTTGGTAACTTCAAATCGTAACAGCTGAAGTTGAAACCTTGCAGAAACCTGGAGGAATTATCGCTCTGTTAGATGAAGCCTGGTAAGCGTGATTGATTTTCTTATTCATCAATTACTTCAGATATCTTATGTAATTTATTTTTCTGTTTTTTGTTCTCCAGCTTATGATATAATTTATGTTCATATGACTGGTCCTTGCAGTATGTTTCCTAAATCTACTCACGAAACATTTGCTCAGAAGTTGTACCAGACATTCACTAAAAACAAGCGTTTCATCAAACCTAAACTTTCACGGACGAGTTTTACGATATCTCATTATGCTGGAGAGGTGATGACTAGTTCGTCTTTTTGGAAATATCTATACTTTCATCTTTCCAATGTAATGCTAAAGCGTCCTAGATGATATGCAGGTGACGTATCAAGCAGATCTGTTTCTGGATAAGAATAAAGATTATGTGGTTGCAGAACATCAGGTTCTGTTAACGGCCTCAAAGTGTCCTTTTGTGGTGGGTTTGTTTCCTCCTCTACCTGAAGAATCATCAAAATCGTCCAAATTCTCCTCCATTGGGTCACGTTTCAAGGTTAATTCATTTTTCTCCATCAAGTATTTTGGCTAATATAGATTTTAGAAACAATTAAAAAATGTGTGTCTCACCGCTAAAAAAGTCTGTCTTCTTGCCCTTTATTAAGCTTAATTACATGTATGGATTTCTTATCTAGGTTTCCTGTTCTGCGGGTTTCCTTTCTCTCTGACTGACGAGTATACTTACTTTATTGATGGCTTTAAGTAAACAAATGGCTGATCCATGTTGACCCTGTAAAATCAAAAACTAATTTGATAGAACTGTCTAGCATATAAGCAAGACTTCTATTTTGGCAAACATTTCAGTCATGACTAAGGTTCTTGAGGATGACAACAACAACAACAACAACAAACCCAGTGTATTCACACAAGTGGGGTTCTTGAGGATGAAAATAACTAATGTATGTTTATGTCTAAGAGAACAACAACAACAACAACAACATACCCAGTTAAAATCCCACTAGTGGGGTCTGGGGAGAGTAGGGTGTACGCAGACCTTACCCCTACCCCGAAAAGGGCAGAGAGGCTGTTTCCAGGAGACTCTCGGCACAACAGGAAAGGCAATAATATCAGAAAATAAATAAGAGAAAAGATATGTAACAATAAAAGATACCAGAAAGAAAATAACCACAACAAATAAGTGAAAGGACAATAACACAAAACTATGCAAAACATCAATGTGAATACCACAAAGACCGCTAACAAACCTAACGAAACTCTAACAGACTACCCGGTACAAAGAGGGAAGAACACTCGACTACCCCCTAGCCTACCACCCTAATGCTCGACCTCCACATGTTCCTATCAAGAGCCATGTCCTCGGAAATCTGAAGTCGCGCCATGTCCTGCCTGATCACCTCGCCCCAATACTTCCTAGGCCGCCCTCTGCCTCTTCTCGTACCTGCCAAAGTCAACCGCTCACATAAAAAAATGTCTAAGAGAAGCTTTTGCTTTTGGTTTTATTGCGAACTAGGAGCTTCAGATATGTGCAGGAATCATGTGGAATTACAGAGTAAATGTATTGTTTCATGTAACTGAATAAATTTTGCTTTACTGTGGAATTTCTGACGTTTTTGCTGTCCATTCTTATTCAATTGTATGCCTAGTACTTCCTATTAGAGTAAGTACTAGGTCCATGCATCATTTGATTGATACTCGTATGCTACCTTTTACCGTAGCACACTGGTTTTTCATGCTTGGACATCTCCATCTCCACCTCTCCAAATGATTCATGTTTCTTCTATGGTGTTGTGTTATAGTGCTTCTGTATTTGTTTTGTTGTTTTCTCCCTGTCCCTGTTTCTAGCAAAAATGATTCATTACAGAGTATGTGGAATTGTAGTATATTTTTTATAAAGATATTTTTCAGTCTTCTGAAGCCTTTCTTACATGAATGCAGCTACAACTGCAATCTTTAATGGAAACATTAAGTTCAACAGAGCCTCACTACATCAGATGTGTGAAGCCTAATAATGTCCTTAAGCCTTGTATTTTCGAGAATGTGAACGTGATCCAGCAATTGCGATGTGGTGTAAGTGTCTACTGATGCTTCATCATTGTGCATGTAAATGTAATGGATGCATTACTTCTTCTTGCCCTTACTTGAGTTGTTCTTTTTATTCTAGGGTGTTTTAGAAGCTATTAGAATCAGCTGTGCTGGATATCCCACTAGACGTACATTTTATGAGTTTCTTCTTAGATTTGGTGTTCTGGCTCCAGAAGTTTTAGCTGGAAGGTAAGTTTTCCAGACTCGTCTTGTGTCGATTCTAACTGAAACTTTTGCTTTCATTTGTGAATTTCCTTCTTCCCCATCAGTTTCTTTCTGATTTTCTTGATATCTATAATTATCCCTTTTCCAGCTATGATGACAAGGTTGCATGCCAGATGATTCTAGACAAAATGGGGCTTATGGGCTATCAGGTAAATTTTGGATATCGTGCTAAACCAGATGTGCTCATCCTCCAACTAGAGTAGGTTTGTCATTGGATTGCTGAGAGAATATCTAGGCTAGAGAAGTAATAGACAAGTTCTTTATATACCGTTCATGGCATCATGAAATGTGCAGAGACATTTCGATGTCTTTACATTAACTGAATGCCTGTCTTTACAGATAGGAAAGACAAAGGTCTTTTTGCGGGCTGGACAGATGGCTGAGCTCGATGCCAGAAGAGCTGAGGTACTTGGAAATGCAGCAAAAATTATTCAAAGACAAATCCGTACATATATTACGCGAAAAGATTTTGTTGTGTTGCGTCATGCTGCTATTCAGTTGCAATCATGTTGGCGAGGTATGTTTCAATATCAGTCATTTGGAATCCTACATTTCAGATTGCTGAAACTTCTTTCATCTGACTCCCTACTTCATTGAGAAGCATGTTTTTGGGACTGGCCTATGGGAGAGTAGCTTTAGCTTCCCTTTACATTTTTGATTTTGATTTTCTAATATTTAACATTTTTATGGTGTTTTGAAACCAACTTTTAAGGAAAGTTTTTAGTATTAAATGATTTATGATGCTTGTATATTCACGCTGGTGCTTTATTCAAGTTTCAAAAGCTTTTCTAATATGGTTCAATTTACACATTATTATTTACTCTTTTTTTGTGCTAATAGTTTATTGTTGATGTGGGGGAAAACCTTGGATAAAAGAAGTATAAAAAAATGTAGAGGACCTACACAACAATATGGTTGTTTACTAAAGACACCATCCATCTATACTAACAGGAAGCTCATCGTGGGTGCACCAAAATTTAATCAAAAACAAAAGACACGCCCTAATCACATAAAATCCTATTCCCACCTCTTCAAAAGCTCTAATTTGGTATAGTTGATACAAAAACTGAGCTAGCATTGAGAAATCAACTGGTTTCAAGAGTTCTCTTGGCAAAGAAACTTTGAAAACATATGTCAATTGCTCCAATATATTATTAAAAGTGCATATTAGGTTTCATCTTTACTCTGCTAGTCTTGTCTGAGGAAAAATTGTTTACTCACTTATCAGCTGACATGTCAATGTTTTTTCTTGTAACTATTAATGACTTAGTAGTGCTATCGTGATTCCTATGTCGTAAATGTCAGCTATGCTGTCCTGCAAACTGTATGAACAACTGAGGCGTGAAGCAGCTGCTCTGAAGATTCAGAAGAACTTCAGATGTCATGTTGCACACACAGCGTATACAACACTGCGTTCTTCTGCAATTACCTTGCAAACAGGCATGAGAGCCATGGTTTCTCGCAATGAATTTAGATACCGGAAGCACACCAAAGCTGCAATTAAAATACAGGTACTAATCTCTCTACTGCTATTGTCACTCTTGTGATCTTCCCTATAATTTAGTGAAGAAGATACATGATGTCTTGAAATTTTCAAGAAAATAATAGCTGATACATGATTTGCTTGCTATCATGCAGGCGCATTTGCGTTGCCATGCCGCTTATTCTTATTACAGAAGTCTTCAGAGAGCTGCCATCATCACTCAGTGTGGTTGGAGGCGACGGGTTGCCAAGAAGGAGCTTCGAAATCTCAAAATGGTTTGTTATGCATTTTTGTCATCATTTCTTGTAGTAATGTCTTCATATCGTTCAGAGAAGGTAGATCATTGTCAATGAGAGATTATGTATGCAGGCTGCAAGGGAAACAGGTGCTCTCAAAGAAGCCAAGGACAAGCTTGAGAAGAAAGTGGAAGAACTTACATGGCGGTTGCAATTTGAGAAACGACTCAGGGTAAGTTTTTCTTATTCTTTGCAAAGTTTCCGCTTGGTTCATTTCCTTTACTATGACACCATTGTACTTTGGATTACTGCAGACTGAGCTGGAGGAGTCTAAAGCCCAAGAAGTTGCAAAGCTACAGGAGGCACTGCATGCAATGCAAAAGCAGGTAGAAGAAGCAAATGCTAAAGTAGTCCAAGAGCGGGAAGCAGCACGGAGGGCAATTGAAGAAGCACCTCCAGTCATCAAGGAGACTCCAGTTATAGTTCAAGACACAGAAAAAATAAATGCCCTGTCAGCTGAAGTAGAGAATTTGAAGGTATGATTTCCAATATCCCAAGGTTTATAATCTTCATAGTTGGATGCTAAACTTAGCAAAACGTGCCAACTAATTGTTTTATTTTTTTTGTGAGTGACTCATTGACTATGATAAGTAAATCCCCCTTGCAAAAACCATCCAATTCTACATGTAGTTTGTGTTGAGTCCCACATCGGTGGGATGAGGATTTCGTGGTATCTTTATATGGTCTTGTGCAATCCTCACCTCATGAGCTAGCTTTTGGGGTTGAGTTAGGCCCAAGGTCCATTTATCATGATATCAGAGCCAGACCCATCTCATTTTAGTATTAGCGATGTTGGAGCCCCCATTTATGTTGTCCACGCTCCGGTTTGCAGGCCTGGGCGTGGGGGGATGTTGAGTCCCCCATCGGTGGGATGAGGGTTTTCTGGTCTCTTTATATGGTCTTGGGCAATCATCATCTTATGAGCTAGCTTTTAGGGTTGAGTTAGGCCAAGGTCCATTTACCATGTTGAAGTGCGTGACCATCTCATCTAAAGCTTAAGCTTCTAGAGAGAGCATACTTTATTTACTTAATTGTCTCTTCAACACACACCCTCAACCAAATGCGCCTGTAGGATAGCAAGCTGCAAGTCTTTGAACCCTGTCATAGAGAAAAGCCTGGCTTTTAAGTGGAAAAGGGTAGAAGGGCAGGCCCTACAATGCCCTTCTTGCCCTCGAGGATTTCTGGGTTACCAAAATCAACAACAAAAACAACAAAAAACCAAGTGTAATCCCACATAGTGAGGTCTGGGGAGAATAGTGTGTACGCAGACGTTATCCCTATCACGTGGAGATAGAGAGGTTGTTTCTAATAGACCCTCGGCTCAATGAAGCGTAAGCACAACAGTAATAAAAAGAAGACAACCAGACACACCAATGAGGAGCCATAGAAAAGAAGCATTAAAACAGCAAGATAGTAAAATGACCCTAATGAAAGCAACAACAGGCAATTATAGAAACCTAACTAAAAACAATACGAGAGTACTAATGCTACTAGTAAGAACAAGAAAAAGCACCCGGCCACCTAACCTTCTACCCTAATTCTCGATCTCCACATGGTCATGTCCTCGGTAATCAAATTCACACTCTGGAATGACCAACTTTCTTTATTTAGAAACAATCTGACTTTTAACTTCCAAATTTATAATGTAGAACTACACAAATATTTATATCTTATTTAAATCCACAAGTTTCAAAATTTCTCTTTCTTATTGGGTTACCAGAAACAATGAGAAGATAATTGGAGTGCATTTATTGGAGGATTTCTGAATCTCTTGAATGTGCTTGAGTTGCAGAATACTCAGAATCATAGTTTCTGCAAGTGTACTCCTAAAGTTCTTTTTCCACCTTGAAGTTCATACTTAAGTCACTTCTGAGCTGGCCTATGAGGAGGGATTAACCTAAAAATGAGTTCCGTGCATATGCTAATAATAGACCGATAATAAAACGTTGATTTTAAAATGTTCATACTTTTGTATAAAGGAACTCATAAAGATTATCTCTATGTTTCTCTTGGTTGAAAAGTTTTTTCACGAATTATCCAGGCTTTGCTGGCGTCAGAAAAGAAAGCTACAGAAGAGGCTAAAGATTCTTCCAGGGATGCAGAGGCCAGAAACGCAGAGCTGGCTAACAAACTAGAAGATGCAGAGCGAAAAGTAGATCAGCTTCAAGATTCTGTGCAGAGGTTTGTAAATGAATATTGACTGTGTCTGTGAGCGAATCAACTTATCCGCCTCCTGATAGTTAAAGAGTCTTCTGATCAAACATACAGCAGAAGTTGCATAGCTTTCCCACGGTTCTGGTCATTTTTGGTTTCTGATTGAACCTAAAAATTATTATGAGCATTGCTCTTACGATTTCTGAGCTATGAACAACCAGCCTTTCAGTGTAATAGTAGACTTGCATCCTTAATCATCACGTTTTTGTGAACTGGACTTCCCAAACACGGGATTCTGCATTCTTTGAGAATGTAAGCCATGCACAAGTCTCTGTCGCTGTCTCTTTCATCTACTCTTTCTTTGTCTCTCGTTTCAGGCTTGAAGAGAAGCTCTCCAATATGGAATCAGAGAACCAAGTGCTTCGTCAACAAGCTTTGACCATGTCACCAACTGGAAAAGCTTTATCTGCACGGCCAAAGACTACTATTATACAGGTGCACAAATAGTTGCCAATTCTCATCTAATTAGAGTTTATTTGAGGGAGTAGAATTTTTTAATACCATAGATGCTATAGATAATTACTCTCGATGAAATTTCAGAGGACTCCGGAGAATGGAAATGCTATAAACGGAGAATCGAAGCCTAATTCTGTAAGTTCAATAGTCAGACTGTTATTTTCACTTTTAATGTGAATTAAACATATGGCCCATTTTAATGTATATGCTTATTATATGGCATAGGATATGAGTCTTGCTGTAGCAAGTCCAAAGGAGCCTGCATCTGAGGAGAAACCACAGAAGTCTCTAAATGAAAAGCAGCAGGTGCGTGGTCTGCTTGCTTGCCCCAAAAAATTACCAGATCACTTATGCTTGTTAATCATAATGTTACAGTTAAATTCAGAAATCATTTTTGTACAATTTTATCTTTTTTACAGGAGAACCAAGACTTGCTGATTAAGTGCATTTCACAAGATTTGGGCTTTTCTGGAGGCAAACCAATTGCAGCTTGTCTCATATACAAATGTCTGCTCCACTGGAGGTCCTTCGAAGTTGAAAGAACTAGTGTTTTTGACCGTATAATACAAACCATTGCTTCAGCCATAGAGGTAGAAAGCTTATTACTTTGGTAATGTTGTACCATTCAAGTTTTCTCTGACTTTGTGTTTATATATCTAAGACAATTAATTTCTGAAACTTCTTCATTAAAGGTCCCAGATAATAATGATGTATTAGCGTACTGGTTATGCAATACGTCCACATTATTGATGCTGCTTCAACAAACACTTAAAGCTAGCGGGGCTGCTAGTTTGACTCCGCAGAGGCGGAGAACCAGTTCAGCTTCTTTGTTTGGGAGGATGTCCCAAGTATGAGCTCTGTGATTTATATTAAGTTCTTCAGTTTCAGCCATTTGCCCAATTTATAAGTCATGTCTTAGTTATTTTTGTCCTCTGCTACCTCTAATATTTATGTAGGGCTTACGAGGTTCTCCCCAGAGTGCTGGACTTTCAGTTCTCAATGGGCGTATGCTTGGGAGATTGGATGACTTACGTCATGTTGAGGCCAAATATCCTGCACTGCTGTTCAAGCAGCAGCTCACTGCCTTTTTGGAGAAAATATATGGAATGATAAGAGACAATCTGAAGAAAGAGATCTCCCCATTGCTTGGGCTATGTATTCAGGTACATTATTTTGTGTGTGCTACTTATGCCACAAGTCCAAGCAAGCTTACGAAATAGAATGTTTACTGCTCGATGTGTAGTTTCAGCAAGTCCCTACGCTTAATGTAGTATGATGTGATAACTGTGGAAGTTTTAGGACTTGGATTGGTTGATGCATTGTACCACTGAGAAGTTCTCTGATGATTGAACCAGTCAACGTGTTAAAGCAACAAAATCTTATAGATTGATTGTCACTTAAGAAAGTTAGTGTTTTGTAAATTATGCAGCACACGAGCTCTTGAATGTCTCTGCACGGCAGAGTTATTAGTTTCTAATATCTATTAAAATAATAAAATCACTAAAGTAATAAATCAGACAAATCCCCAATCATCAGTAGAGCTCCCGAGAATGGCTAGTGAGGATACTTCTCTTCAAGCCTAGGAACAAGCTGATCTTTCCAGGCTTAGTACTATGCCTTGAAGCGGAAAATTTATAAAAAGGCACCACTTTTCTCTTTGGGTCATTGTGTTACCTATGTTTATTATGTTCTCTCCCAATGTGAGAATATTTTTGCTGCCGAGAGAAAGAGGGAAGGGGTTAATTTGTATGAACATTATCTGCATCATGTCTGCAGGCACCGAGAACATCTCGTGCAAGTTTAGTCAAAGGAAGATCCCAAGCTAATGCTGCTGCCCAGCAAGCTCTATTTGCTCATTGGCAAAGTATTGTGAAAAGTTTGAACAACTACTTGATGATGATGAAAGCAAACTATGTAAGTTAAAGATTGGAGAGCTATATAATAATTAATAGCAATATTCATTTTGTCTCCCTGATGTTTATGTGTTTCCATTGCTCCACCCATGTAGGCTCCTCCTTTCTTAGTTCGGAAGGTTTTCACTCAAATATTCTCCTTTATCAATGTTCAACTTTTCAACAGGTAACTACAGGCCTTTAAGGACTGTAAAATCTGTGTGCATTCTGTACGTTAAGTATATTTTATTTGGCACATTGGCACCTTCTTATGTATCTGTGTTTTAACTTTCTCTACAAACAGTCTCCTTTTGCGGCGTGAGTGTTGCTCGTTCAGTAATGGAGAGTTTGTGAAAGCTGGGTTAGCTGAATTGGAACAGTGGTGCTGCTATGCAACTGAAGAAGTAAGCATGTTCCACTGTATCTTTTCAATTCTTAGTGCTATCCAGTATCTTACTTCTGTATTTTCATGTCCAGTATGTAGGCTCAGCATGGGACGAGTTGAAGCACATTAGACAAGCAGTTGGATTCCTAGTAAGAACTAATTTAGTGGCTTTGTGCAAAACAAACTTTCGCATGATCACGTGCTTTTATCTGACTCTTTCTCCCCTCAATTTCTTGCAGGTTATACATCAAAAGCCCAAAAAGACATTGCATGAGATCACTAATGAACTTTGTCCAGTAAGGAGACTTAGTTCTATATTTCTCTTCTGTTCTTGTTCCAGTTTGTTGTTCCTTAAATATGGTTGTTTCTTTTACCTATCAGAAGAAAAAAAATTCCTGTTTCTTTATCGACTTCTCGTTCGCTGTTTTTCTTTTCTAATTCACATGGCTATTTTTTATTAGGTGCTTAGCATACAGCAACTGTATAGGATCAGCACTATGTACTGGGATGACAAATACGGAACCCACACTGTTTCTACAGATGTAAGATCTTGCACCTACAGTTTTAATGCGATGTAGGTCTTCAGTAGTTTTTGTTTTGTTATAGTACAGTTTGCTTGTTTCCTGATTTCCCTGTATGGTTTCTGTTTCCGTCCCACTGATAGGTTATTTCAAGTATGAGAGTTATGATGACAGAGGACTCCAATAATGCTGTTAGCAGTTCCTTTTTGTTGGATGATGACTCGAGGTATCGTTTATTAAATAACTCATTTCTCAATATTTGGCATATATGTACATTTTACTGACCATCTCAAATTCATATCCTGTCTCAAATTATTGATGCAGCATCCCGTTCTCCGTGGATGACATCTCCAAATCAATCCAACAAGTAGACATTGCTGATGTTGAACCTCCTCCATTAATCCGTGAGAATTCAGCATTTGTATTTTTACATCAACGCTCTAGTTGATGGTGGTTTCCGAATATCACTCAACATGGACTTTGATGAATGTTCGCGTAGCTCCAGAGAGCCGACTCTCCTGCTCATCATGGAACATGCAGAAACTTGTGCATATAATTACATCACTTGTTGCATTTAATGGCTAGTGTATATTTTTCTCCACTTGTTTTTGGTCAACCGTCTCAGTTTGTTGTCCCGTTCAATTTATTCTTTTCTCCTCTCATGCTTAACTTGAGAGGTATTTTTAATAGGCCAAAAGGCTTTTAGTGTGATCATATGCAGGTATAGGCAGATGCATTGGTTTTTTGTTGCTTGCCTTTTTTTGAGTTGTAAAGTCACTAAAGTTGTCAGTCAATTTTAGGTTCTTATTTGCTGTAGTGTTTAGCAAAGTGCAGTTTAAGGTTGTGTTGTATATGAAGTGTTAAAATTGTCAACGCAATTTGTGATTCTTTTCTTCCCATTGGCGAACTGCAAAATCGGTAGATCAGTTGAACTTATAATATGACTCATAAATAGGGAGCTTAGTTAGAAAATCAGCACATCATATATAAAGCCCTATTTCTGTTACTATATGTTTGGCTACACAAGTAGATCATATTTCATTACTTAAAAGTAGGGTATTTGGTTGTGGTTGAATAAAGTTCCAGCCTTGCTTAATTATATCAATATACTTGGTGGATATAATGGAAAATAACTACTGCCTCTTTCGGTAATCTCTATTGGATTGCACAAAATTATAATACTTGGTATACTCATAACAAATGGTATCCTTCGAGTTGATTTTAAGAAACAAAATTATGATAATATACCATAAAAGGGCAGTTCTGCGCTCGGGGAAGGACTGCACTCAAGGGGAAGAGGGGTAGGGGTGGGGGTGGGGGTGGCTTGGGGGGGTGGGGGAATGATATATATAGCCTATCCTAATGCAAGCGTTAGTGACGATTTTTACGGCTCGAACCTGTGTCTTATAGATTATAGTGAGATAACTTTACTGTTGCTCCAAGGTCCCCTTCCATGATAATAGACTATCTATGCTTAAACTTGTAGTGTATTATTTTTTTTCTCACTTCTTTTTAAAATTTTGAGGAACTAAAGTTGGGAGAAATTCAAAAATAGCCAGATTTACATGTGGTTTTTCAAAAATAGCCACAGTTTCAAAAGTCATCGAAATTTAGCCACTTTTCATGTAAAGTTAAATCTGAACGAAAACACTGTTCAAAATTCGGAAAATACTCCAGCATAATATACTGGAGTTTCAATATATTTTGCTGGAACTCCAGTATAACAACAAAGTATACTGGAACTTCAGTATATTATACTGGAGCCAGCAAAGTCTACCGGTCCGGTATGATATGCTGGAAGTTCATACACAGGTGCACCGAACTCCAGTATATTATGCTGGACCGGTCTTTGTTGCAGCAAAATAGTGGCAAATTTTTAATGATTTGGCAAACGCTGACTATTTTTGAATGACCAATCCGAAAACTTGCTAGCCCGTGATATTTTAACATTAAAGTTAGATATTAACATGGGTCCGAATGAAAACCAAAATCAATTTGTAATGACAATAACTCAAATGCAACATAAAATCTTTCATTGTCAAGAGATGCAAAAATATGCAACCTCTAAGAAGAAGAAGGTAATCGTAGGAGCAAAAGGGAAATAAGAAAACAATAGCAGACAAATAGGAAGAGTATAGCCTGGGAAAATTCTTACCACATAAAAACAACACTTCCAAAAATTCTACTTCATAACAATACATTTGTGCAGAACACTAAATCATTAAAACAACTGTCTCAAGTGTACGAAAACAAAGTACCAAAAAGAAAAACGAAGACAATAAGTAACAAAGAAATTGAAAAGGGATAGAAATATTTTGTAGCTGAAACAGTGTTGATAGCGTCTTTCACCCTCAAATCAAGTGGCTCCAAATCTGACCGAAAAGGGAAAATTTCATCAACTTTATGACATTTATCCAATTTTACCACATTAAAACTCTTATCTTGCAACTTGTAGAAAATAACCTCATAATAATCCTTCATCAAAGCAATATCTGCATTATAAAACCCAATTGGACTTGGATATTTTGTCACTTTCTTTAAAATTTCAATGTCAACTTCCTTTTTCAACTCCCAACTTTGGTTTCTATTCTCAAAAACCCAAAGCTCCATCCCTTTTGTTGACAAACAAGTAAACCCCAACTTCCCTTTATACTCCACAAGTTGGTTATATTCATAATCTTTATACTCCATTGCAGATTTTGGAAGAGAAAATCTTGAAAAAGCTTCTTCTCCATTATAGTTTAAAGCCATCACTTGATCATCTTTTCTTAACTTAAAATAAACCAAACCACTTGCATTAACTGCTGGAGCAAACATGTCAAAATACACTTCAGGAGGTAGTAATAAATCTTTTGCTTCTCTCCAAATCCAAGCTTCTGAATCAAAAATTTCACAACGATAATAATTCAACCCTAATTTTCTATAATGATGATAAAGAGTCCGAGGTGACGATAACCTTATGATCTTGAACTGCAAAGGATTTGATCTCAGTACGATCAGGGCGACTTTGATAGTAGAATATCGTATCCTAGGATTAGGGAGTTTAATCCATTGTTTAGTACTAGGTTTACATATGTGATATCTGTCCTCTCTCCTTGTTCTTCTAACACAACACAAAATTCCTTGCTTTGACGATGCTTCAATCTTCATATCAATGTCGTTCTTGAAAATATTTTCTGGCTTTATATTTTCAATAGGAAGATATAATGGAGTTTTACCTGAACATCCATTTAATGATATGAACTCAGTAACGTACTTGGTTTTTGATAAAGATTGAACAAAAAAACCTGAAATAGTTTTGCTTTTGTCACAAAACTGTGGCATGAAATTTGATTCATAAACTAAATTATGCCACTCTTTGTTTACTGCTTTGCATGTGTCTAATGTTTTTAAGGAATTAGTTCGAGTTAATATCTCGAAAATTATATCGGAAGGAAACGGAGAAGAAGAAGAAGAAGAAAAAGAAGAGAAAGCCATTGAATTGAGTTGAGAGGGAAGAGAAGAGAAAGTCTGAAAACTCGACGGTATATTTTAGGTGTAAGAGAAGAATATTTATAGGTGAGGTGACTGAAACTTGACGGTAAAGAAACAGGTAAACTTTTCCAATACTAACTGGGAAACTATTTCTTTAAATTAACTTGTTATGCTAATGTTTTTCCCTTTTGTATACAGATTATAATTAGTTACTATTATTTCTCCAGTCCTATCATTCTTTTTTTGTATGAAACGGACAGCTAAGAGGAGTAGTAAAATTTCATGTTTCGTAAATTGATTAGGGTAATTATTTTGTAATGAAACTAATAAGGTACTTGAGATACTATAAAATATTGGAAGTTTTGAATTAGTACTAAAGTTTGTGTCTAAGCTTATAGATTTTTTATATTGACTATCATTGGGTACTATTATTTTCCCAATTTTATTATTCGTTTTTTTGTATGAAAAAGACCGCTAAGGTGGTAAGTGGGGAAGAGTAGGGGTGTAAATGAACCGGGTTGGTTCGATTTTTATCAAACCAAACCAACTATATCGGTTTAGATTGGTTCGATTTTTTCGGGGTTTTTTTGTAATATGGATATTATTTCAATCTTACCTTGTTAAATTTTTGACAAGTAAATATATGTTTAGTAAAAATTAAAAAATTGACAAATATATGATCTATTAAAATATTCTTATGGAAGAATTTTCGTAGTAACACATGATAGTTATTTTTTAGTCGTCTGGCAATAATTTTATGTTGACGTACACTTTCAAGATTAACCAAATTTAATAATTAAATATTAAAATAAATATGAACCTATATAATGATATGTTCTATTTAATTTTAATTGTCGAAATGCCATTTCAAATTCGAAAAAGATATAAGAATTTAATAGACATACGAAATGTAAAAGAACAAAGAGATTGACGTATTTCACAAACACTTAATAAGAAAGTGATCATACAACCCATAATTTAAAGTTAATAAATATGTAGCACTTCATATTTAATTAAAAATTACATCCCATAAGAGAATTGCAAATATTTTTAGATATTTTCTAAAGAAAATTCTATAAAAAGTCTTAAAATTATATATAAATTATATATTCATATGGAGAAAATCTCACTTTATACCCATTAATTCCAAACTTTACCCTTTAATACCCAGGCCGAAACTATTTACTACTCCTACCCATGAAGCCCAAACTATTTACCCGGTATTCTTGACAACATGGTATCGTATTCTTGACAACGGGGCCTCTTTGTTATTATTGTTCTTGATTTCTTTTTTCTAGGAAAAAGAATTCAATCATGGCTGTATATTTCAAGTATAAAGTGCTAAAGATTATGATTTAATTCCAACTCTTGATCAATTTATTTATGTTGGCAATTTAAAATTAAAAATATTTGAATCCAAGCGTTTTGGTAGGGGTAAAGATTTTGACCTTCTTATTACCAACGCTCAAACTAACGAAGATTATGTGGATCAATTCTGCTCCACTAACGAAAATGGCTAGTTTCAATTCTGCTCCACTTTTTCTTGATTGTTCTTTCCCTAGCTCTTGCTCTTGCCTTGACCCTTGAATTTGAAATTTTTATTTTGAAGATTTCTTGTTTGATTCAAAGTGGGTGTTGTTAAATATTGCTTATAGTACCTTCTGGAAGTTCATACTGAAATTCGATAGCATTTGGAGCTGATTTGAGGTGATTGAGATAGAAATTTCTAGTTGAAAATCGAAGAAGAACACAGCTACAGTATACCGCTACGGTATACAATATGCTGCAGGAGTATATAGCTATATTGCAACAATATACTATTATAGTTTACAATATACTGCAACGGTATATTGTAATAATCGAAGAAGAACACGGTTATCTAACATTATACCGCTACAGTATTACAATATACTATAGGAGTATATAGTTATACTGCAACAATATACTATTATAGTATACAATATATTGTTATAGTATACTGTAATAATATGCAATATAGTGATATACTATAATAGTATGCTGTAATGGTATACAATATACTATAATAGTATACTTATTACACGTAAATTCACTTGCCTTTTCCCTTTTAATTTGCTTTAAGCTTTTACCCAGCGTGAGGGGCAAATTGAAAACGCAAAATAAAACAAAATATTATAGTATGATATATAATGTAACAGTATACTCTTACATTTAGATCCTTTTAGAATTTTTTGAAATTTTTACTGACAACTGATATTATTTCAGTTTAATAATTGAATTTAATTTTTTTACTCTTTGCGTACAATTGTATACCCTGTTGGTATAGTTATATACTATACTGGTATTATATGTTAGTTAATATTTTTTGGTTTTATTAGTTATATTTAATTGGTACACAATTTAATTTTTCTTTAGTAATAGTATAAAAAAATAGTGAAACAGTA